TAGAATAGAATAGAATAGAATAGAATAGAAATAAGAATAGAATAGAATAGAATTAGAATAGAATAGAATAGAATAGAATAGAATAGAATAGAATAGAATAGAAATAAGAATAGAATAGAAATAAGAATAGAATAGAATAGAATAGAATAGAATAGAATAGAATAGAAATAAAAATAGAAATGAATAGAATAGAAATAAGAATAGAATGGAATAGAATGGAAATAAGAATAGAATAGAATAGAATAGAATAGAATAGAATAGAATAGAATAGAATAGAATTGAATTGAATTGAATTGAATTGAATTCTTTATTGGCCAAGTGTGATTAGACACCCGAGGAATTTGTTTTTGGTGCATAAGCTCTCAGTGTTACATAAAAAGAAAAAAAAATACATTCATCAAGAATCATAGGTATAACACTTAATAGTCAAGGGGTACAAATACGCAATCAAATCATACTAGGAAACATAATAATAAGTGATCAAATCGAGTTATACCAGGAAACAGTCAATTTTTAAAAAACCATAAAGATACAAGTGACAAGGTTACAGTCATACAGTCATAAGTGGGAGGAGATGGGTGGAAGGGAGCATGGGGAGGATTAGTAAAAATAATAGTAATTAGCAAATAGTTGAACAGTGTTGAGGGAATTATTTGTTTAGCAGAGTGATGGCGTTTGGGGGAAGAAACTCCCCTTGTGCCTAGTTGTTCTGGTGTGTGCAGGGCTCTATAGCGTCGTTTTGAGGGAAGGAGTTGAAACACTTTTATGTCCAGGGTGTGAGGGGTCTGTGGATATTTTCACAGACCTCTTTTTGACTTGTGCAGGATACAAGTCACCATGGAAGTCTTGGTTAGTCTTTGGCTGCTGGGGGGGGGGGGGGGAAAAGAGGGTGGACAGAGAAATGAAAGGAATCAAATGAAAATGTTTTGGTAGGGAGTGCCAAGCGGTGTGTGTGTGTGGGGGAGGGGAAGTGGAGCAGGAAGGGGCCCAGGTGAAGCTCTCTCTTGGGTCAGGGCCGAGCCTCACCTGTTGGGTTTCTGCCTGCCCTGCTCAAGGCCCAGGACAAAGGCAGGCAGGGCTGGGGGGGGGGGGGGGGGGGGGGGGGGCCCCAATCTGACCCCGTCTTCTTCCCCCCTCTTCCCCCCACAGAGGAGGGCGATGCCACGGAGATCTGGTGGACGCCTTTCCTGCAACAGGGGGGAGCGCTGGAGGCCAGCGGTCAAGAGGTGGTGGTCAGGAAAACCGGCCTCTACTTTGTTTACAGCCAGGTGAGAAGATGCTCTCCCCCCCCCCTGTCCAGAGGGGGTTGGGGCGGTGGGGGAGGACAGCTCCTGGGGAGGGAGGGAGGCAGGAGGGGAGGAGAGGGATGGAGGAAAGGAAAGGAAGGAAATGGGAGCCAAGAAAGGGAGGAAGAGAAGAAGGAGAATGAAAGGAAGGAAAGGAAAGGGGAGAAAAGAAAGGGAGGAAGGTAGAAAAAGGAAGGAAAGGAAGAACAAAAAGAGAAGGAAATGGGAGCAAAGGAAGGAAGGAAGGAAGGAAGGAAGGAAGGAAGGAAGGAAGGAAGGAAGGAAGGAAGGAAGGAAGGAAGGAAGGAAGGAAGGAAGGAGAAGGAAGGAGTTGGGAAAGAAAAGAAAAGGAAGGAAGGAAGGAAGGAAGGAAGGAAGGAAGGAAGGAAGGAAGGAAGGAAGGAAGGAAGGAAAAAGGAAGGAGATTGGAAGGGGAAGGAAGGAAGTATCGGGCTGGTGGAAATGAAAAGAAAAAGAAGGAAGGAAGGAGATGGGAATGAAAAGAAAAGGAAGGAAGGAAAGAAGGAAGGAAGGAAGGAAGGAAGGAAGGAAAAAGGAAGGAGATTGGAGGGGGAAGGAAGGAAGGGCTGGTGGGAATGAAAAGAAAAAGAAGGAAGGAAGGAGATGGGAATGAAAAGAAAAGGAAGGAAGGAAAGAAGGAAGGAAGGAAGGAAAAAGGAAGGAGATTGGAGGGGGAAGGAAGGAAGGGCTGGTGGGAATGAAAAGAAAAGGAAGGAAGGAAGGAAGGAAGGAAGGAAGGAAGGAAGGAAGGAAGGAAGGAGAAACAAGAGAACTGGAGGACAAAGGCAATTTTTTTTCTCCTCTCTTCCATAGCTGGACAATTTCAGGATCATTCCTATATTTTTCCTGAGCAATTAATTCAACAAAGGAAATCAAATTACACCCAGATTCTCACACCAGGTTGTGTGTGACATTGTCACTCCTGCTCAAACCAGGCCAAGGAAAGAAAGAAAAGTTTTTTCCCTCCTTCTTTTTCCTGGGTTCAAAAGCGTCAGGAAGGGAAGGAGATTCTCAGCCTCGTGGCTGGTTCTGGATCGCAGGTCCCCAGAGATGCGACGGACATAAAACTGAACAGGGGAATGTCAGATATCCCATGGGGGGCGGGGGGCTCCACTGAGTAAGGATCTTAATTAGAGATCAATTAGCTTCCCCTGATTGCAAGGATTAATTATCCCCTGGGAAGCATTTGTCAAAAAAAAAGAAGAAGAAAAAGGCTCACCAGCTGCTGGGAAAATAAATCCTTGCCGATATTCCCCTAGTCCTCGACTTATGACGACAATTGGGAGTAGAATTTCCCACGGCTAAGCAGGGCGGCAGTTCAGCGAGCTTCGCCTCGTTTTATGATCTTTCTCTTTTTTTTGCCATGGCCATTAAGTGAACTGCTCTGGTCGTTAAGTGAATCCAGTTCCCCTCCCATTGCTTGTGAGAAGCTGGCCGGGAAAGTCACAAATGGGGACTACGGGGTGGCCCCTCCCCCCCGGGAGGCTACGACCGTCGAAAAATACACGTCGGCTGCCAAGCAGCCCAACTGTCGTAACTGCGAGGACGCTTATCTTTTTCAGTTTCACTTTGAATGGTCGCTAAAGGAACAACGGTCGTGAGGCGCGGACCAACCTGTTTCCCAATGGAGTCCTTGACATAGGACCATAATGGGAAGGCTCCGTTGTTGACCTGACTCATATTTATGACAGTCGCCTGATCCCTTTTTTTAAGACTTTCTGATGAACAAAGTCAAAAGGGGCAAACCAGATTCACTTAATGACCGTGTGACTCACTTAACGGCTGCAGTATGGTTTGTTTAACCCCGGGGGTAAGAAAGATCAGAAAATGGGTGTGTGTATGTGTATGTGTGTGAGTGTGTGTGTGTGTACACACACATACACACACACATATATATTGTCAGGCGATTGTAAGATAAGAGGTATAAGTATAAACATAGTTATGAATACATAAAATGGATACATATAAGAAAAGTAAAAAAATGTGTAAGTATATATATGTGTGTGTGTGTGTGTGTGTGTGTGTGTGTAAATATATATATATATATATATATATAAATGGTATTCAGCTTTGTTCGGGTATTTTCCCACGTCATTATAGTTGTGCTTTTAAAGTTGTAGCAACGTTTTGGCAGAATCTCATCTGCCATCATCAGGCTTCTGTATTGTGTTCGTCTGTGAGTCAGACTTTTACAGTTGTTTCAGTTTTAAATTTGGGGCTAGCCTA